CTTCTGGGTAAAAACACCGCAGATGTTTAACGTGTCATGTCACAGCAGCTCTCTGTAGCAGATTTCAGCGGGACAGGAAGAACGCCATGAAACTGCAAGAAGGATTTAGTTAGGCGAGATGTAATTACTGAAGTTGGACAATGTCCAGGATACTGGGGCAAACCCTCCTGCCTTTGCAAATTTGATTTTAACAACTTTAATTTTAAACACCTGATAGCCGTATTTCTTGCCAAGGGAATAGATTGCTGAAAGTAAGAGAGGCAGTATTTCCTAAGCAAAAAAAAATTCTCAGAAAATGAAGAAAGGAGGGGAAAAAAAAGTTTCCTCCTATATGGTTTGTGACACCTCACTGGCAAGCCATGAAATATCCACTGCAGAAACACATTTTCTGGGCTGTAGGTCAGCTTAGCTTATACTACCCCACAGCAGAAGCCAGTATTTTGTGCGTGGAAGTGATGAATTGTAGAAAGTGGAACAGCACAGGGGGATCAGTGTAGGGAGGCCAGGTCAGAGCAGTGCGGAAACAAAACAAGAATCTGCCTAAAAAGAAGAAAATTCAACTTCTTTTGCTATTGAAACATATTTCTGCACCAGCATTTATTGATGACAATCCAAATATCCACATCCAACAACCAAGCGGTTCAACACACCAGCTTGCTTATGTGGAATTCGACTGTGCCTACAGCATTGCAACAAAACAAGCAAAGCAAAATGAGTATCTGAAGGAAAGCACCTTGTATAACACAGACCCTCCGAATCTCGGGAAGAACGCTGTTGACCTTGGCTACCACTGAGATTTGCCACGTGAACAGGGCAAACCACTTCTCACAGCAGTTCACAAACTTTGGAATAAGCGAGTCCTGATCCTGCTTTAATGCAAGGGGATGGAGTAGGTGACTTGCCAGGTTCCCTTCCAGCCAAACAGTTCTCTGATATTAAGGCTCATCCCCAAAGCCTATTAAACAAGGATCCAAAAGATAATGGTAAAATAATAAAGCATCTACTGCAGCACGCTGACAGCTCCTCCAGGAAACCAATGCTGCCCTACAGAAGGGTACTTCAGCATAGTTTGCAGACGAGATGTTTTAAGTAAAAGAAAGCTGTACTTGCATCATCTTGAAATTAACTGGAAGCATGTGGAGAATCTCTTTTCTTGTTTTTTTTCAACCAAATGAAACAACGTTCTCCAGTTGCTGTTGAAAGGAATTTAATGAAATAGCTCACACCTGAGAGATTATTTCCATGTTTGTACAAAACAGAAAACAAGTGTTCTGGGACTTGCTCTGTCCCATTTTCAGCTCAGGTTGTGTTGCACATTTATCTCAGGTGGAAAAAAATCTGAACTACTGATTTCCCTAATGTATATGCTGGTCACATCGTGGTATGAGCAGAAGCTAGGTTGTGGCTGTTGAGTAATATATGGCCCTGAGTCACGCATGCAGCTTAAATTCAGAAAAGGGGGAGGAAGAGGGCTCAGGTAGACATAATTGTACCTACCTATGAGCACAGCAAGGTTACAACATGCTGTGGGCTCCTGAGGCAGCCTCCCTTCTGCTGCGAGCTCCTTACGCAGCCGCACAAGACCTTAAACCAGTGCTGCTGCCCTGTCTTTAATGCCCAAAGTCTGAACACATCTCCTTGCTTCTCGTTATGAGAAAGCGCTGCTTTAGGGTCTGATGGGCGGCCAAAGACCCCTGCAGCCCATCGAACTCACAGGTCAGCAAATGAGCCCTGAACAGCTTTGATACAGAATTAAGTTTGGTACATTCAACCTGCTGTTCCTGCCCAGGGAACGAAGCAGACCAAAAGTCCAGTGTATTGCTTTTTCAATCAGGTCTGCTGCCTCATTTAAAGAGTAGGAATGTTTTAGACCCACTTGCTATTAAAAAAAAAAAAGTTATTATTACAGCTTTGCTACATACTGAAAAATCCCCTTGTGCATACTGTGCTAAACAAGAAAGTGCAATTCGCAAGTTGAACAAAATAATGAAATATTCCACGTTTCACCATTTCCTCATCAGCACGGTAATGATACACAGATATATTATATCCACCCTGATGACGATGAAGCTCAGACAGTAATCAGAGGTTTGTTGTTATTTTTGGCTGTCACATACAAAAAAATACAGCAGAAACCATTTTTTCTTTATCTTTTAAAACCCATGTATGTAGAAAGGAGGCAATGGCTTTTCACAGTTAGCTGCTTGTCCATTTATTCTGTAGGGTAAAAAGACTATTCAAAACATCTCAGCCTCACTTCTCCTCTGGTGTAAATGAAGGTGGTTTCACCACAGAACAATGGAGTTCTAATATAGTGTAAACCAGAGGAGGATTAAGCCCTCTAGCACAAGTATATGAATTTCCCATGGCAAACACTGGTATGAAAACAGTTATTTCCCTCTCCTCCGCTGCCTTCTGTGTTACGGTGTTATCTTCATCTCCAATATTCTGTCATTTCAAAAAAATTAACAAATGTATAATCAGCGAGCAGAAAGAAATCACTTTGTCTAATCAGCAGAAAACTCTTTTCTACCCTAGCACTGAGCTGCCAGCCACAATCACAGCTGATTAAGATGGTATAAACATGGACAGACCGAATGTTCAACCACGATCTCCACTTTTCAGCCTGAATATACTGAAATTCCACTCTTAAGGCCAATATCTGCATTGATATCCAAGTTATTGATAATTTAAACAATTGTTTTACAAATTCCTATGACATTATAGCGTCCTAATTACCAAGCTTTTAAGGCAGATACTTCCTTTTAAATGGAAGCTTAAGCACTGAGCTGTTTTGGAATTAATACGAAAACCAGAAACTATCCTTTCATGTTTCTTTGGGATAGCAGTATATTGATAGTCATTATTTCTCCTAACAAAGAGAAGCATTCCTTTTCCCCTTGAAAGAAGACGACTCACCTACTTTACGAAAACCTCATGCATGGCACACGTTAGGGTTTTTACGTACAGCTCGTGTCATCCTGGTCAGAAAGTAATTCTGCAAGCAACCTTGCTACAAGCCAAAAAGGTGCAAGTGTCATTGGTCTGCTTTTAAAAAAAACCCAAACATGTGGAGAGAGAGTTGTGCAATTTTTCTTAATTAGAGGAAATGACCGCACTTTAAAAAAGAAAAAGAGACTAGACTGTTCTAATCAGAAACAAAGTTGAAAAATAAAACCAACCATACAAAAAGCCCAGTCCCACACGTTTTATGCTACATCTCAACAGGCTGAAAAGCATGTTAATAGACTGGCCTGGCCCACAAACACACTGAAGGCTCTGCGAGCAGCAGCTGCCAGGTTGGCCCTCATCCTGCTTCATTTGGGTAAAACTCCCTTTGACATCAGCTGGAGCAAGGTTTGTTCTTAACTAAATAAAAAATTCAAGAGGGAAAATCGGATCTTGTGACTCTTGTACGTCACTGGAAATGGGCTCTGACCCCGCAATTTGCTGAGCATCTTTATCTCAGCACACAGAAACAGAGTAAAATCACTGCTTTGTGCCATTTGGGGGAAAATCAACTATTATTTATGGCTAAACACGTGTAGCTCTTAACGGGAAAAAAAAGAAATGCTCTAAGCCCTTCTGATGTCGCACATAACGCAGGGCGTTTGACTCGCTCACACCACTGCCCCTGCCTGCACCTGACACACAGACACGTGCATGTGAGTTTTCACTACCCAGGAGAAACCTTAGTTTGTTTAGATTTGAGACAAAAAGCAGCAGTCTGTTATCTCACGCCGTTCTAAAAACGTGACATTTACAGAGCTGTTTCCAAGCAAGTTCATTAAACACTGCGTGCATCTTAAGGCCATATGCAGTAGTATAATTTAGAGCGTGTATTTTATGGGTTTCTTTTTCTGGTTTACCCACTGATTATTATGTGCTGTAAAACCTCAATTATCCCAACTAGTCAGGGGAATAAAAAAGGGAAATAAAAAGTAGGTGATGGAAAAGGATATGTTAACAAACGCCACAGAAAAGCAGTCCATGCAACGCCAAGACTGTCACGTGTAACATTTCGGTGTTATTAATGCCCTTTCTCTTCTTACAGAAAGACTACTAGTATGAAGAAAAAGCAACTAAACCATCTCCCTCATTCTTACTATGTTCTTACGAGCAGCTGGCATTTTAAAACACCGTGGACAAATGCCCTGCAAATTTTATCTTTGTTTTCACCGTGCAAACTCATAGACCTAGATGGAACAGCACAATCCAAAATAAAGGCTGGATTCAGCCCAGCTGGGAACAGGAATGACTTGAAAGACACAAGAATATTTCTGCAAATTTCTACCCATGTTACATTTGAGTTTAACTGCCTAATTGTTGTGTGGGGGACAGACACACAGCGCTAAAACAGCTGCTAATGTAAATGGGAACTTGCCCAAACAATTTCAGCTTTCTCCATTTATATCCCAGTAACATATACGTTTGGCACCCAAGTGCTGTTACTTATGCCCTGAATAGTTGCAAGCACAACATTCTGTACCTGAAAAAAACTCACAGAAAGGGTTGGAAATTTTTTTTAGTGTGTCAGATCTGTAAAGCTGAGATGATGAAACTTAGTAAGCCGTCTCTGCTAAAGCCAAAAAAGAGAGTATGTAAAGACGTGACTGTATCAAGGACCCCAGCTGTACAGTGACTTATCCAAGCACATTATTATACCCATATAGTTGTTTAAACTGTTTACCACTTTTTCACGTACCGTGATTTTTAGTGCACCTTAAACTGCTAGCCCAAGCCAATTTCTGTAGCATCTGAGCTTGTCTACTCGTGGTTTTTAAGGCCAATGATTTCTTACCAAAGTGATTCAAGTTGATTTGGCCTGACCCCATCCCAATGAAGGCATTTTCTGTTCTCACTGCTGCTGTCAGGAATACATCTCTGCGGGATGCCCCTAAGTGTCCACAGCCTGCATATTTGGTTTTTGAAGGTTGAGGAAGCTTGGCAGATGTTTCCAGCCTCTGCGATGTAGAGCTATCGCTATCCTTTCCTTGCTTTCAAGAAGTTGACTTCTTTACAGCAGCTTGCACATTCGTTTTCACTCGCTCCTTTGCCGAGTGGTAATCTGGAGAACAACACATAAACAGAATTAGGGCTAACTGCTGCTTTTCAAGAAATCTCTCAAACCTTGTTTTCGTGTTGAAGAAGTCATTTAGACTTCTCTACGGCTCGTGAATGAACAAAACTAATACCTTTAGCGTGTTCCACATAGAGCTATGTAATACCAAGCACAACAAAGGAAATGTGCTGGCTTTTATCCAGTTGAGATCAAAAGACTTTGGATGCTCTTATGCAAGCTGAGCAACATGACATTTCACTCCAACTTTTAGATCTATGGCTGCAGTGCTTTCCAGACAGAAATAGGGTTTTTCTTCCTCCTTAGAAATAGAGAAAAAAAATACTCTGCAAAATGACATCAGAAGAACTATATATATGGAGCACTTCCGCTTATTAGATCAAATAGCAGATTCAAGGAGGGCTGCATAAAACCTTACACTATCACTGAATTATAATAATTCTTTGCTCAGAGAGTAAGCACTGCACCTCATGGGGAGAACACACATTACGTTTTCATACGTACGTGTGGCTGAATTTGTTTCAGGTGCAAACGTAAATCAACCTTAGCTACAGCACTGTGATTACAACACCAAAGTTTCCCTATGAGATCCTTCTCTGCCTCCTTTTTTCAGGTAAGTAAGGCAGAATTAGTTGAAATGGAAGCTAGATGCTTATTTATATTTAGAGTTCATGGGATTCACCTGGTGTAAATCATCTGTATTTATAGTAATGAACTTGCTTTGGTTTCAATCGAGGATGTGGGCTCCACGATACTGAAGCCTGAGCTTTCTATATCGTCAAATTGGCAACACCTATTGAGTCCTAGCAGCATACAGTCTTGCAGTAATTTCAATGCAGAACATTATTGGCAGGATGACTGGAATTCTACAGGCTTTCACAGCCAAGTTTGTGCAAAGAGATTCCTGCAGCCAACTTCCTTATGGATATGTCTGCATGGCACAGTGCAACGGAGCGCAGCGGTACCTGAGCTAGCCCAGACTTAAACTTCCGGAGCAGGACATGATCCCAAGGACAGTATATTCTCCCAGGCAGAAGCATGCACCGCTAACTCAGTAGAAAAGCAAATCACACTATTACTATAATTCATTGCAGTCTCCCAGTGGAGCAGCAGAGGAGAGGAAAAAAAAGCTTACATTACCAAATGTAATCCTTACTACTTATTTCTTCCATTTAAAAGACTCCTATATAGCTATCCTTCATTTTATTTTGGAAAAAGGAATGCACGAGGAATTATGCTTAGCAGATGAAGTTCAGAAAAGACTTCAGTAGTCAGTACTCCCACTTCTGCCTGGGAAGAGTTTTAGCAAGAGCCCAACTGCTCGGACGCCCATGTAATGGAGTCCAGTTTCAAAACTGATGGAGGCAATTAAAAGCCAGAGGGATGCAGATTCCCCAGAGCCATATTCAGATGGCCTAGCCTCCATCTAAGATGCCAGAGTCCATGGAAATTGGCTGGTTTGCCTGAGGGACTCTAAAGAGCACTTGCACTGGCATAAGTAAGGTATGGAGGAGGATGCTGCCTCCAACCTGTCAGTAGCAGAGCCTGGCCCAGGGACCTGGGAGGGGAAGATTTCTGTTGCTTAAATATACCCACCTAAACACCTGCTTTCATTTCCTCACCATTTTCTCCCAGCCATCTTGCATGAACTACCTGCTTCAGAAGAAAGGCCAGCTAGCGAAAACACATTTTTTTTACCAATTTTCTCTCTTTGACCTTCAGTAAAGGAGGCAAGGATCTATGAACATCTCCCAGGAGAGCCAAGGTCTAAGTGTATCAGACTCAGGCAAGCCAAAAGGTTTAGAAGAGAAAAGGAGTGAGAGCTGGCATGGTTCACTAACCTTGGTTAGTGGGGGGAAAAAAAAGAAAGAAAAAGAGGAATAAAAAAAAAAAGAAAGGAAAAAGTGAAAAAGGCTCATAGCCTGTATCTGAGCCACTTTTTTATTTTGAAGTTCTCCCAGAAAACAGAGCAGAATCACACTGGGGTCACAACAAAAAAAGAGAGAATGGAGATGGGGTATGTGTACATAAACAGGGTGAGAGAGAGAAGGAAAAAAATCTACTTTTGTCCTGGTTAGCTCTCTGTATGTCTGAGAAGTCCAATACAGCAGGAAAATCTCTGCCTCTTTCTACTCTGGAGGCACCAATGTCCACAAAACCCCATGGCTGGCTTTTAATATATCGATATTTATTTAATGGGCCACAGCTGTCTTTGAAAGTCTAAATTAAACACACATTGTTGGATCTTTAAGTAAAGCATTACAGTGCTCTTGTTGACCAAAGCAGAACGCAGATAATCGGGTTCAAATCCAACCTCAGACCCTAATCCTGAACTAACCTTTCATTATGGGATGGCAGAAGACGAGCAAAGGGGTGGCAGCATGGGGTCAGACTGTACCAGTGGGTATGACTTTCCTTGGCTCAGTTTTGCCTGAATAACTTGAGTTGCTGCCAGAGGGACATGGTTCCTGCAGATAGAGGGAAACTTCCGATGCATCCTTCAGCTGACACTAAGAAGGATGTGTGTGCACGTGCCTGTGAGAGCGAAGGACTGAGAGAGGGACTGATCTCCAAGGCTCACCAAAAGAGAAGACTGCAAACGACATTCCTGGCCCATCTCGCACACGCAGATTCCTCAGGGAGAAGGGTACTAGTCATTAGACCGACGTGTTTTCTCTTATGAAAACACATGTGGGAAAGTGTTAAACTGTGCAGCATGGTATTTTGGTTTCCACATCCCTTGATGAAATGTTTCTTGCCTGGGGAAAACGAAACGGAAGAAAAATATCCCCTGGAAATATCTGCATAATTTACTCCCACACACCGAGCGAGAGATTTACAATCGAACAGCAGTTCCCTCAAATCATCACAACATCGTGCTCTGAATTATGCTTCTGTACTCCTACCTGTAAATTATCCTGTTAATTAGTTAATGGCTGTAAAGTGCTTTGAAGAAGAAAAGAGCGCTCATTAAATATCATTGTTCTGTACTCCAGCGTGCAATGTTCCACTCTTCATTAATCTCCAACCTCTTCCCGAACCTCTCGCTAGCAATTAAGTTTCATACCCTCAAATAGCAGTTTAGTCTATTGTCTGACTTAACTGAGATCAACATCGCTATTCAGAAAGTGTTCCCTGAAACCTCAGCTTCAATTATCTTTTAGGCAACTTCAAGTTGGTGTCTGGCATCAAAACCCCAAAAGAAAATCCTTGGTCTTTGTCTTCAAAACCTGAGTCTTGGATAAACCAAACCCCAATATGGACAAGGGAAATCTAATATATGGGACTAGATTTTTTTCAAACAAGCTCAAATCCCATTGAGACAAGAAAATGAGGGGCCAGATGTTCAGGAGAGCTTAGTGTGCTGGATGCTGAGGACTTTCAAAAACCTAAAGCTCTTTTATAGGTGCTGAAACCTATTCCTGGCAGCAACTCCTGGTGAGAGACATTTGAAAAATCTTCTGCCCCTTCTGCCACCTGGCCAATTTTAAGATTGATTTGCCGTTAAAATTCCTGGATGCCTTCACTGAGTATAATATCCAAGCTGGAGTTAGCAGGAGACCTGGCTGCCTTCTCTGGTTTCTGGTCTTCCTCCCAAGGCTTAGCCAGCTGAACAGTGTTCCTTATTGCACTCGGGAAAGGGTGCACGCGGCCAAACCTACAAGCAAGCAAAAAACCAAAACCTCCCATCCAATGGCAACCCTGTTTTCCTGATGGGCTCCTGCTTGAGAAGTCACCTCTCTAATTTTCTTAGACTGTCTCATTAAACGTCTAACCCTCCTAACCATCCCAGCTATCCTCCCACAAGCAGCGGTCGTTATCTTATTGCTCTGTGAGGAGTCCTCAACAGACGCCCAGGGCCAGGAGGGGGGTTGTGGCACAGCACCTTTGAAAAGCATAAAGCCCATGCCCATCGATTTAGAGTGTGCCTTCCTCCTCTTGCCGATGCTTCTCTAAAGGGCTGCATTTTCTTAAAGCAAGACTGATTTACGGGCCCACCACAGAATTTCTAAGCAGCCGCTGGGACCAGGTTTGACCATCTGAATCACACCAGGTCCTCACACACCTGTCAAAGATGTCTGTCTTCTTTTCTTCCCTTCTGAGATCCCCTTGCCCGCTGTTTTCTTGGAAGTTTTGGGTTTCTCAGTCAGTGCTACCTGGGCAAAGCAGTGACTCTTGTCCTCCCTGCCCAGGGGCCAGTTCAAGCGCTGCAGTGGTCTCCGAGCATCTCGCACCACGCAGCTGTGGTACAAAGTGGGCACCTCGTGGCCCTCGAGCTCTTCCCACTGCAGGAGTCCCTCCACCAGTGCGTCCTGGAGGAAATCGAAGTTCCACTTCTGCCGGGCCTGCTCGATGCTGTTGCGCAGCATGTGCTGGAAGTTTTCTGAAGCTGCTCGTGGTCTAGGGGGCCAAGGAGGTTCGTTCCTCCAGGCACTGGTTGTCTTCTGTGGCCTCCTCTCCATCTTTTCTCCCTGGTGCCACGCTCTGGCGAGTGTGTACAGCAGTGACTCCCTGCCAAGGACAGAAAGACCATCAGCCACCCTTTGCACGCTCAGTTTAGTAGGCACTGCATACTCTTGAAGGGGAGTGAGGCAGTAAACCTAGATAGTTTTGATCCTGCTACAGGAAATTCTGGCTTATTTTGAAAGAAATTTATCCCAGTCTCCAGTCCAGAGTGAGAATTCCCACCTATAGGATGTGTCTGTAGAAGGATGGGGAAGGGTGAAAAGCCCTCACCTCTTTTGTGCATCCATATTTCAGTGCACACTGAGTGAGGGTTTGCCATAAGAGGACAGAGATGCAGGAGGACGCGGACAATGTCCCTTGAGATAGTGCAGCAAAAGACAGAAAGCACAGAAGTGGTACTTGGGGAAAACGACTCTGAGTATCACTTAAACAAGGGAAAGCGCTTCAAAAGGAACACTTCCAGGACAATGAAGGCTGATGGCAATCGGTAAAACACAGAAGACACATTTAATTTTACAGTGGAGGTAGTATCTCTTTCCTCACTACTCTTGCCACCATTTGTTTTGCAGTGTCAGCTAAGCTGGAAGCTAAAGATGATCAGGGCAATCACCTGTTCCCTTGCCTGACATTTTCATTCCCTTTTCTTGAAGCAATTGCCTGAGAAATGGTCCCAGTCACGGACAAAAATGCTGGCTTTCCTACAATGGCAAATCCCATGCAGGCACCAGTAGGTGGATTTCCCATTTGGCAGGCTGGCATGGGGACAGAAGAGGTGGACCTCCTCTGGCAGCTAAGGTGGGAACATGGCAAGACGGAGAAGAGCAATCAGGCAGTTTGCAGATTCCATAGGCCAGAAGGGCATAAATATACCAAACACATTCACCTAATTCCTGCACCAGGTCTTTAATTTCTGGAAGAGCTTGAAAATAGATCTTAAAGATCATTCAATTCTTTCTCTGGATCCACGAAACTCAGGCCCTCTCACAAACTGAGATGCATACCAGCAGACAGGCTAAAAAAAAACCTCAGAGAAACATTAACAGACAGGCAAATTTTGGATTTGTTGCACTACTGATTTCTGAAGAACGTAAAGAGTTTGAGGACAGAGATGTGGGAGGTCAACTGGTGATTTGTCTACAGATCATGCAAACAGTCAGAGCAGCAGAGCTCCTGCAGAACCTCAAGCTTTGGCCTTGGTCTCCAACATCCCAAAAGGTGCTTCAGCCACAGCAGACACAAACCCAGATGTGGCTGGTATAATCATCCCCCATATTATCTTTGCAGGTTTGTATCTAATTCACGTGAACCCCGAGCATCCTCTTGCAATCACACCTCAAGTGCCTACTCTGAACACATCACTTGGTGGCTCTGGCATTAAGAGCTTGTCAGCAACGAAGTGGTGTTGGTGCGCAGATGGTTCTGCGCATGGTCTGCCACAGAAGCTCAGATTCTGAAGGGACGTGGCTACCTCCCCCTAGGTGGAAGCCAAGTGTCAGTTCTGCAGCTCATAGCACACCTGAGCAGCAGAGGACCAAAGAGGCAGACCAGCTCTTGCCTGTGTTTGCAAATCTCACTCCTTGCCCTTAGCATCTCTGAACCAGCATCCCACAAGTGCAGGGCCCATGGCCACTGATAATTAAACCAGAGAGTGCTGGGTCTGGGTTGTCCTTCTGGTGTACGGATTTATTTCCAAACGTTGCGTGTGGTTCTGTGGAGGCTGATGGCTCTCATGGAGGTCCAGGATGGGAAGCAGAGTAGCCCTGATTGGTCTGGGACACTATCTGGGCCTGATCATTAGGGCTGATGGAACTGCTGTGCCTCCTCGGCCTCAACCAGGTCCCACTGGTGGTATGCACCATGCTGTGTGGTTACACCAGCTCGTTCAACGTAAGCCTTCAGGACTCAGCGTGTCCAGCAGGTTGAGGGAGGTGATTCTGCCCCTCTACTCTGCTTTTGTGAGACCCCACCTGGAATACTGCATTCGGCTCTGGAGTCCCCAACACAAGAAGGACATGGAGCTGCTGAAGCGAGTCCAGAGGAGGGCCACAAAGATGATCCAAGGGCTGGAGCACCTCTCCTATGAAGACAGGCTGAGAGAGTTGGGGCTGTTCAGCCTGGAGAAGAGAAGGCTCTGGGGAGACCTTCTAGCAGCCTTCCAGTACCTAAAGGGGCTACAAGAAAGCTGGGGAGGGACTTTTGACAGGATGCGTAGTGATAGGACAAGGGGCAATGGCTTTAAACTGAAAGAGTGGAGATCTACATTAGACCTAAGGAAGCAATTTTTTACAATGAGGGTGGTGAAACACCAGAACAGGTTGCCCAGAGGAGTTGTGGCGCCCCCATCCCTGGAAGTGTTCAAGGCCAGGCTGGATGAGGCTTTGAGCAACCTGATCTAGTGGAGGGTGTCCCTGCCCATGGCAGGGTGGTTGGAATTAGATGAGCTTTAAGGTCCCTTCCAACCCAAACCATTCTATGATTCTGTGATTCAGCTGCCAACAGGAGCAAAGCTGGCAGTTGCCCACCACATGCTCCTCACTCCCCCCAGGGCCTAGGAGAGGTAGGAAAGCACTTTTTCCTGAGGAAAAGCAGCCGAGAGCACAACAACAAGGACAATCCTCTAGGTGGCACACAGAATCCCCAAACTTTCCACAAAACTTTTCCTGGCCTTGCCCTTAGCCATCGGGATACTGGTCGGTGCCGGCTGTCGCTATAGCTAATACCAATCGCTTTTTCAGCCGCACCAAGCCCCGACAGCTTAAACTGAGTTCATTCAAAGGCAATCGCATCTTAGGAAAAGGTCTAAGGAAAGGACATACAGTGCTTTGCAGGAATATTCCTCTTTCTTAAAAACTTTCCTCATACGTATCAGGAACTGTTTGATATCAGTGAACCAGGGTTAAGAAGAAAGGAGGTATTTATGAAACAACTACAGCCTTTCCTAATCGCGTATTCTAATATCACACAGGAATAAACTAGAAAAGGCTCTGCCTTACTCTGTTAACGATCGTGGCTATTCCAGCACAGCCTGTGAATCCAGTGCCTGGTCTTTAAGACTGTCTAATTCCAGGCGTTTCAAAGGAAGAGAAAAAGCCGACAGAGAGGATAATTACAGAAAAACCTTCTCCTATGGAAAGTTTCCTCCTAATGCTCTTAATTATGTCATGAATCACAAATGCTATAACTCTTCTGAACTTACATCACGTGTATATACTGCCTGTTGCCGTTTCTGTTATTCATGGTCGCACCCAGGGTGAAATTCTGGCCCTACAGAAGTCAGTGCGAGTTTACCGCAGCAGAACCAGGATGCGGCTCCTTGCTTTTTTCAGGACTCTTTCCAAGCCTTGGCTCCAAAGCTGCACCGTCACTATTCCCACAGCTTAGTCTGAGTTGCGTGGGTGTTTTAAAATGAGACCGAAATATTTCTGAAATGAAAAAACCACTATTGGTAGGGTCCCTTCTTTCTTAACCCGTGATTTCTGCGCCAAGGAGCTGTGAGACCTGTTCTGTCAAGCTCACACCTATCCGTACGCGCATCCTGACTGAGCCACAATGCAGGACAAACACTGAAGGCTGGTGCTCTGCACTAGCAGTGGCCACTTCTGTTTTCTCTCCAGTTCTGTGCTAGCTTGAACGAGTTGAAAAGAAACACAAACTTCCCAGGTGGTTCAGTGCCTGCTCCTTGCCGCAAATTTTCAGAGCATCAGAGGAATGTTCTCTCACATTTCTGAATTTGCTATATATGCACGAGTTAAAAACCCAGACGATGACAAGGCAAGGGATGTTTCCACAATGCTGTGGGTGTTTAATTTTCATTCTTTCAGGGAAGGTCTTTTTTCTAAATAATTTTGATACCGCAAGTTTCTAGCTATAAATCTTATTTTCAGACACACCGCTTGCCTGTGGCAGGTGCTCAGGTCCCTTTAACTCATTCGTTTTTAAAACTACATCTGGAAGA